AAAATCAGCAATCTGTACAATAATAGTCATTATTAAATTACATTACAGAGATAAATATATGAATTTGAGCAAACAGATTGCCTAGGAAGAGGATATATGCCTATATTTGTTTTCTGGGTTGGGTAGTGTATTGTTTATTTATTTATCTTGAACTGTGTCCGGTATCTAGAGGTAAGTAGAATAAAATGTTTATTACTTTTTTCTAACCTTTGTGATACATTAGGGACTGAAAGACGTTACGCATTAATTTCCACTAATATAAAGTAAAAATATAATAAATGATGAATTGACTGAAATATTTATAGGGACATGACTAATGATTTGTGTTACATACAATGCATTAAAGTAATGCAGTTGACGTCATCTCTCATCAGCCCATATATTGTAATGAGTAACTCATCCTACACTAATTTGACGTACTTAGGGAAACGCTACAACTTCCTTAAGCAGGTACCTTCTAACTGTTAAAGCATCTCGTGGCTTAAATACAAGCGTAAGACGAGCCTGGTTATTTTTACTGTACCGGTGTCTCAGCACGTGTTTACCCCGGCGAGTAAAAGAAATGACGTTTGCTCAGCTATCTGCCAAGTTCTCGTGTTGCACGTTGCGGCTACTGATGCTGTAGTGGCTTCGTAACATGGAGTATTTACATTTTTATTTTACTGCACAACTGAGGTACTTGCGATATAGGAGAAAAGCCTAATGTTAAAGGCCACTTTTGAGCAAATAAGGTTCAGGTTTGGCCTCTAACTCACCTGGTGGTAAGCGATGCCTCTGTCAAACGATGTTTTGCGTTAAATTGCCAGGTTGGATTTATATGATTGTTCTTATTTATAATTCCTAGCATGGAGTTGGCAAAAGGCTCACTCACTATACCTTTAATCAATGTCATGTAGAGAATTAGTGATTAAACGAACTTACCTAAGTGATGTTCTATCACAATTATACGAGTTGCTTCGTCCGAAGAGATTAGGTAATAATTTGTAGTAACGCATATCGTGTCGCCTTTCATCCACTAAGTTAAAAGCAAAAAAAAAATGTTGAGGGTACTCGCAACACAACTAGGAACATTGGTTGACCGGCCACTCATTTAGTTGAAAGTCTGGAGCTCAAATCGAATTTAATATTTCACCAATGGGGGTATATACTTACTTGTAACTAGGGAGGGAGGGAACCTAATCTCTTCGGACGAAGCAACTCGTATAATTGTGATAGAACATCAATTAGGTAAGTTCGTTTAATCACTAATTATACATTCGTTGCTTCGTCCTTCGAGATTAGGTAATAATTTGTAGATTTTGAAAGCGTGAAATATTAACTGGTGCAATCTAAGTTTATATAGATTTAATAAACTTAACATACATATAAACTTAAGTAGACTAACAATGAGAAATACATATTTCTTATACAAATCAACTACATAATAAACAAAATTAGAACTTAGATTTCTTATTATTTTTGTTTGTACATAAAAAACAAAAGAAAAATTTAACGACAATCATTTAGGATTGACCAAGCTAATTGTGGCGTTTGGTCTGATTGAATATGTCTATGATAATGTTTTGCAAAAACAGTTGAGTTGCCACTCCAGCCGGCGGTTCTACGTATGGTATTAACACTGATGCCGGCTCTGTGGGCGGCTGACGTAGACGCGTGCCGTGTGGAGTGGGCAGAAAAAATAGAAGTGTCAATTCCGCTTTCAGATAGAATATCCTTTATCCAACGACTAATACTGTTGGTGGCTATCGCTTTATATGGCTTTTTAAAACTTATTAAGAGATTATCCTCATTATTTCTAATAGATTTTGTCCTATCGATGTATGTCATTAGAGCATCCGCAGGACATATTTCTGGACGTTCTCTGAAGTAGGGAATACTCAAACAGGGTTGCTTAGCACCTGGACGTGAAGTTTTAATAACGTCAGTTATTTTGATAAGTATTATGTTACCACTAGCTGTTATATTTTTTAAC